AAACTCCATCCCTAGAAAATATGTTATTTTCCCGAGATCAGTCATTTCAAACTCATTCATCAGCACCTTCTTGAACTTAGCTATGTCTTGTTTAGAACTCCCTGTCAGCAATATGTCATCAACATACAAGCACACTAGAATCATATTGCCTTCAAAAGTATGCTGAACATAAACACCGTACTCCATCTCACATTTCTAAAACCCCTGCTCCTTGAAAAATGAATCAATCTTTAGATTCCAGGCTCTGGGCGCTTGCTTCAATCTATATAAAGCTTTATGTAATCTGTGCACTATTCCTTCCTGATTCTTTTTAACAAATCCAGAAGGTTGTGACACGTATACCTCTTCTTGTAATGGACCATTCTGAAATGTAGATTTCACATCTAAATGAATTAGAGGCCAATTCCTGTTAGCAGCTATTGCAATCACCAGTCTGATTGTTTCATGTCTCTCTACATGTGCAAACACTTCAGAATAATCCAGGTCAGGTTTCTGCAGAAATCCTCTTGCTACTAACCTCTCTTTGTGTTTACTAATTGATCCATCTGGCTTTAGCTTCTGCTTGAAAATCCATTTTACATTGATGACTTTCTTGTCCTTTGGAAGTTCTGTCAGCTTCCAAGTCTTGTTCCTCTCTATGACATAAGGTTCTTCTTTCATGGTCTTCAGCCAGATTTTCTGCTTAAGAGCCCCTTCTGTGCTTTCAGAGTCTACTAACATGACACACTAAATAACTTCTCTTTCAGAATTTTCTTCAGTGTCTTATAGCATGTCAAACTCTGCAACTCTTCTCAGAATGTTTCTAATTCTCTGTGTCCTCTGACCTCGTTCAGAATATCCTCCAAATGCTTGAACCCAGATGTTCTATCTTCAGAAGCTTCTCCTTCAGAAGCTCTTGCTTCAGAAGTTTTACCTCCTCTAGAACCTTGACCACCTTTAGAGTCTAGAATATTTCAAGAATCTGAATCACCATCAAAATCTAGATCAGAATCATCTTCACCTTCTAAGTCTCGTCCAAAGTCAAAATCACCATCAGAGTCTATTAGCTTCAGAATCTCCTCCAGTTTCTGACTCATCTTCAGAAACTTATAATTATGAACTTTCTTCAGAAGTTCTCATATTAGATTTCAATTGAGACTTGTTCCAATCCCAAGTTTCTGATTCCTTTACAATGATGTCTCTGCTAAATTCAACTTTATTAGTTTCTGGACAATAGAGATTGTGCGCACCTGTACTGTGGTACCCCACTAGTGACATTACTTTGCTTCTATCATCCAACTTTTGTCTTCTGGCTTCTGGAATATGTTTGTAACATACAGAACCAAATACCTTCATATGGCTAACACTTGGCTTATCTCTAATCCATTCTGAATATGAACTATTTTCTTCAGCTTCTTTGTTGGACATCTGTTGAGCACATGTGCTGTGGTGGCAACAACTTCTCCCCATAAGGTATGAGGAAACTTATTCTCCTTCAACGTGTTTCTCATCATATCAAGCAAAGTATGATTTCTTCTTTCAGCAAGACCATTGTGTTGAGGAGTATAAGGAGCAGTAACCTCATGCTCAATTCCATTCTCCTTACAAAACTTTCTGAACTCAGTGGAGTTATACTCACCTTCACCATCGATTCTAAGAATCTTCAGAGTTTGACCACTCTGATTATCATCCTTCATTCTGAACTTTTTGAATTCAGCAAACACCTCATGTTTGAACATTATAAGGGATACCTATTTCATTCTTGTGAATTCATCAACAAATGACACGAAGTATTTATTTCCTCCAATCGATGCTATTGGAAATCGACCAGACACATCAGAATGCACTACTCCTAAGGCATGCTTTGCTCTTGGAGCTACTTCTAACGCATATGGAAATCTTGGTTGCTTTTCTTCCATGCACACTTTGCATGACTTTTCAGGCCTCTTAATTGTAGGAATTCCACGTGTCAGCTTCTTCGAATTCAGATACCCTAAGTTTCTAAAATTCAAATGACCAAATCTTATCTGCCACAACTCACTTTCCTTTATAACACTTGTTGCACTAAGACATTCAGAGTCTACAGTTCTTACATTCACCTTGAATGTTTTATTCCTTCTCTGTTCTGACTCCATAATCAGCTTCTAATTACACTCATACAACTTCAGAAGATTGTCCTTCATGGTAACTGAAAAACCTTTCTCAATTAGTTGCCCTACACTCATCAGATTACTTTTCATGCCAGGTACATACCACACTTTCTAAATCAATGATGTTTTCCTATTGTTCAGAATGACTCTGACATTTCCCATACCTTCAGCGTTGAGGTATTTATCATTAACACATCTGATCTTTGTTCTCTTACCAGAGTCAAAGTCAACCAACCATTTCTTATTTACAGTAAGATGATTTGAGCAACCAATGTCCATATACCACCAGTTTATCAAATTCGTATCATCAGATTCAGAAGCCATTAGTAGCACAAATTCATCATCAGAACTTCGGGGTATATTTTCTTCTTCTAACTTCCTTTCCTTGTTTGACCAATAATTAGCAGCGAAATGGCCAAACTTCTTACAACAGTAGCACTGGATCTTCTTCTTGTCATACCTCTCTTTTTCCTTTCGAGCATTCTTCTGCCTATCAGAAGTTGGGGTTTCTGACTTCTGAACACCATCAGATCTTCTCCTGGCTTCTGACCAAGACTGTTTTTTATGCTTCTTACCAGAAACTGTTTTCAGAGCCTGCTGCTCTACTTCCCTTTCAGAAGTTCTCTCAGTCAGACGCAACTCTTGTGCCTTTAGACTACTTTGCAACTTTTCAATTCTCATGATGCTCAGATCTTTAGAATGTTCTATTTCTACCACAATGTAATCAAATTGAGGGGTAAGGGATCTCAATATCTTCTTAATGATTACTTGTTCAGAAAGGGTTTCTCCACAAGCTTTCGTCTCATTAGTGATCAGAATCACTCTGGAGATGTACTCAGATACCTTCTCATTGTTCTTCATGTTGAGATTTTCATACTACTTTCATAGGGACTAAAGCTTCACCTTTTTCATTGATGCATCACCATCATAGCACCTGACCAGTGTATCCCACGCAACCTTCGTCGTCGTTGAATCAACAATTTTCTCAAACACATTTGCATCCACACACTGATGGATGTAGAACAATGCTTTCTGATCTTTCTTCCTCGTATCTTTCTGAATGTTCTTTTGTTCCTCTGTTGCATTTGCTGCTACGAATGTAACCTTCAGTGACAAGATCAAGCACATCTTGAGCACCGAACAATACACACGTCTGAATCATCCAACGAGTCTAGTTTTTTCCATCAAACACTGGAAGCTTGGTGCCTAGACCATCGTTTCCGTTCATCTTCAACCTTATGCAATCACTCAGATCTCACCAAATACAGTGTTTTCCAATCCCGCAAAATCAGAAAATATGATTCTCTTATGATTCCGTTCAAGATTCAACACGAATTCAAGAAACGAAATCAAACACACAGCACCTCACTGTTTCATTCGTGTTTCCCGTGTTTCCCTGTGGATTCGGCCGGAGCTCTATATACCAATTGTTGGTGCACAATGTTAAAAGAGATGAACTGAATGAGAGAATTATATTCTTCAAATGAATGCTACAAAGTTGTAAGGAAGAATTATAAAATGACATCTACCACTAGTTTATTTATACACAAAAAACTAGGGCCACATAGACAACATACTAAAGTACTAAATTACCTAAAGCTTAGTCACTAAGTTTTGTAAAATATAAATCATTCTAACAGCGGAGACATTTTATTTACAAATATGTTTAGTTCATAAGGGGAGAAGAGATATTTTAAAACTAATTTTCTTTTTTATTCTTCTACTTTTACCCTAAAACTCATGATATTTACCGTTTATAATTCAAATACAAATTCACTGACGAAATATAAGTATTCAATCAGAGAACATCATGAAATTTTTTATGAAAACATAACGATCATAATATATAATTTTTTAAAAAAATTATCGAATACAATAAAATCTAACAAAAAATATTATAAAAACAACATTACGATAATTTAAAAGTAACATTAAAATATAAAAAATAAAATAAAAAAATTTAAAACATAATAATAATAATAATAATAATAATAATAATAAGATGAAGATATAAAAATACAGAAAATATAAAATGAAGTTAAAATTTATTCAAAATAGAACTTTTAACATTTTAATAAGTTAAATTTATATTTAAATAAATAAATAAGGATAAATATATAAATATAATTATAATTAAAATGAAACACCATTCCTTCCCTTCAAATTCCTCTAAATCAGGAGAAACAAAAAGTGATTAACTACGGATTTTGATCCCCTCTATCTGCCTCCACTTCTCCCTTTTAAAATTTGAACCAAATACATAACCTATTAAATATTCTCTCCCATTCCCTCCCTTTCCCTCCATTTATCTCCAACCAATCATATCCTTGGTATTCCTAGGCAATGTTTGGATATCATAAAATAAACCGAACGAAATGTAGTGGAGTGGAATGAAGCGGAATGAAACAGAATGGAACAAATGTCTCATTCCATTGTTTGAAAATTTTAGAACTTAAAAGATAAATTTTATATTTCACCTAAATTGAAGAGAAAAAATATGGTGGTAATTTATGGAATAAAATGAAATCTATACCACTTTATTTTATTTTAGACTATGAAATTTAAAAATATTCAAATAATAGAATATTATTTTATTCTATTTTTTTCCACTTCGCTCCATTCCATCTATCTAAATAATAGAGTAAATATTTTTTAAGAAAACTCATTTTTATGATTTATAAAAAAAAAGAAAAATCAAATTTAACTGAAGTTAATACGCAACAATCACCATTTCGGTTTTGACTTCATAAGGGGCAAAAATTGTTATGGCGGTGTTCAAACCATATACACTTGAATTGAACTTAGCTCCTCCACAATTTCTTCTTCAATTCTCTCTCCGTCGCTAGAAAAACGAACACCATTATCTTAATCATGATTCATTCAACTACGAAATCAGCAAAAGAGAAAGAAAACGACCGTGGCATCAGTTCGCACATCCTCACCCTCCATCGCCGTCTTCTCCACGCCCTAAACCTCGGAACTAGGTCACCTCCCTTTATCAATTTTCGATTCAGATTTCCACAACCTATCTCTTGTTTAAATTCTATTTTTTCTTTATTCATTCATGTATATATCAGTAATTTTGTAAAAATTTGACAGACATTTTGACGAGAAGACGAATAGATGGAAGTGGCAGTGTGTTAACATTGAAGTGCAGAAAAATGTATTACGATCGATTACTGCGTTTCTTGATTCTATAGCAGGTGATGCACGTGCCATGCGGCATACCATTGTTAAGGTGCATTTTCTAAGTCTTTTGAGATGTAGAAGATCTATACTCGTATTAGGAACTTAATAGATTTATTGATACATGTTTGGATCGATGGAATATGGTGGAATGGAACGAAATTGAGTGTAATGAGGTTATGCTCCATCGTTTTGATTGATTAAAAGGTGATGAAATTTGGATTGATTAAAAGATGATGAAATGTAGCAGAACGTGACGGAATGCATTTCATTTCATTCCATCACTTATCTTCATTTTTGTACGCACAAATTTAGGTGGGATAACAATTTTGTTTCATTCCATCATGAAATGTCCAACCAATAGAACATCATTTTTTCTTCGTTCGGTTCAATTCCGCTCTGTTCCACTCAGCTCCATCACATTTGCTTTAAAATATCCAAACCTAGTGTAAAAAATGTAACTTGCTAAACTACTCCTCCTAAAAAGAAAATGACTATTTTAGTTGGCATACCATTAATATACACTCCCACTTCACGTTTAGAAGGAGTACGTTAGTACCAACATATGGTTGATTTGAACGGGAAGAGACTTAGACACCTTAAGTAGATGATCGGGTAGCTCTTGTATGGGAAAAACCTAATTGGGACGAGAGAACCTACACTGTGTGCCCAATAGATTTTCCAATGAAGATTAGTCACTGTTAAACAGTGTTAAATACCTTGTACCCATAACATGTTTAACAAAAAGAGCATGTTAGTAAGCTATAACTTTGAATTTGTTAAGTTACTATGGATAGTGTAACAACTTATATCAAACGTGTCTTCGAAAAAAGTGAGAGTAATAAGCAATCACACATCTACATAGAGGGAGGGAGAAGGGGTTATTATAGATGAATTGGCCTTCTTGGTTGATGTATGCTATTATTTAATGGAACTGAAATATGTGCTTTACTTCATCAGGAATCTGCTGCTGATATTTTGGGAGCATTGTTATGGATTCTTCAATGCAAAAATGAGCCCTTGTTAAGCATGGCATCAAATGTGGCTGTGAAGTTAGTTAGTGTTTTACCGAGTCAACAGTTGCAATTGCGATTGTTGGATCTTGTCTATTGTCTATCATCCTTGCTATCTTCGCATCAAGTAGAAGTTGCAATACCCTCTGCTACTGCTTTGAATTTGGTAATCTCAAATCTGAGTGCTACGAGTGAGAAGGCTGTTATTGAAGCACTGAAAGAAACCGAGATTTCCATTTGCATTGTTCAAAATATAAAAGACTGTGGTGCGAAGAAAATTGAATATTTTGTGGAGATGGCTTCACTTTTGAGCACAGTACTGTTGAGGTGGTCTTCATCTAGGTTCCCTGTTTGTAATGATGTTGAACTTATGAAAGTTTTAGCAAACTTGCATACAAAGACAGATAGTTCCATTAAACTTGTTCTTCTAAAGCTGTACACATCTTTAGGTATTACACACCCCTCTCTTACCTTCCCCTCAACAAAACAAAAAAGTATTTCCTTGTTATCCTCCATATATTGTCCAGTATATAGACCAACTGATCTATTTTTTCGTTACCAGCTTTATGTGATTCTGTAGTGCAAAAACTCATAGATGGTGGAAAAGTATTTTTACAAATGATTGTGCAGGCGATGGGAAAATCAAACCCTCATGATGTTCGGATAGAGGGTTTTCGGCTTGCTCAATGTCTATTGGTAAGAGTTATTATTTTATATGATGAATATTGGACTATATATAGCCTTGTACTTAACGAATATTACTTTTTCCTACTTAGAGATCCCAAGAAAATTGTTTAAAAGTGATGGATTTGTGTGGTGAAGCTCTTGTTGATGCCATAATTTCTGGAATGAGAGAAACAGGACCGAGTTCCAAAAAACTTGAGAGCAACTATGGTTCTGTATTAGTAGAAGCATGTAAGCTGGCTCTAGTTACTCGTTGGGCTGGCGATCATCATATCAGGTTTTGGAAACAAGGAATTGATAGAGTCCTCCTTAGTCTTCTGATTGAAAATATTCATGACCAATCAACTGAACTTGCCTTGTCATTGGAAAAACAAATATCCATGGTGAAAGAGGGACTGAAAGTCAATTATCATGTTGGTCTGAGGAGTTATGTGTGGGACATTCTTGGGTGGCTTACAATTCATTGTGGAGAAAACTCAAACCCTTACAGTTATACCCATGAGAGTGAACTCCACATCAACTTACTAATTATGTGTGCTTGGTAAGTTGTATTTCTTCCATTATCATTTTTTGATGACTTCAAATGTATGTATATATTGGTACTATAATGTATTCTATGGTATAGTTTCTTACTACCACTGATAATATTTCTAAAATCTCATAGCTGAACATTTATTACACCTTCATGGCGTTAATGCTGTGCAAATTTCTCCTTTTTCTGCAGCTTCACTTTTGTGGAAGCAATTGAAAAATGGTGCCGGATATGTCAAAATGATGTCGATGATAATTTTCAAAGTGAACCAGTATCAAGGGCTGTTCTGATGATGATATATTCTCCTTGTAATTATATTTCTTCACATGCTAGATTTGTATTATCTGATATACTAAAGGTCAAAGGCAATCCATGCTTGAAAAACTCACTACATACCCTCGATTATATAGCATCCCTAAAAAGCTATAGTTCATTTGATAAACTTCAACTTGTTATTAACTTAATTGGGATGACTTGTCTTTCAAGTTTACCACAGTATCAAAGATGTATCATAGAAAGCAGAGGGATAAAGGCTGTTGTTGTTCTTGTGCAACGATGTGTAAGTAATGATATTCATGTGGAAAGGCCTGAAGTTGCTCCTCATTTGCATACTGTATTCCATAAAAGGTCTTGTTGCTGGATTGGTAAAGGAGGCTGGGAAGGTTCCAATATCCTCTTATTTTATGGTCTATGGGGCTTAGCTGAATTTCTTCATCAGTGTTGCCTTTTACCAGACAATCCTCAGCAATTTACTAAAGAGGTGACAAACATTAACACTGAGTTAGTTAACAAACTTCATGAGATCTGTAGTAGCACCTCTTTCAGTCCTGGAGTGAAATGGTATGTTTCTTATATTCTTAGTTATTTTGGATTATATGGTTTCCCAAATGAATTTTCCAAAAGGATTGGGAAATCTCTTAAGAAGGAAGAATATGCAGATTTGCGATTCATTGTAGTGAATGGGGATTCTGTGAGTGTTCATGGTGTTATTCTTGCTGTTCGATGTCCATCACTTCTACCTTCTGAAGTGTTATCTAGTAGTAAGAGTTCTAAAGAGATAACAGATCATTTTGTTGGAGAGACCGTGAGAGAAGTTCGTTATTCTTCTCATGTTGATTATGAAGCATTGTTGTTATTGTTGGAATATGTGTATTTGGGACACTTGCATGCAGCAGAAGAAGAAACTGTAAAGAAGCTCAAAATTCTTGCTAAGCGTTGCAATCTACAACCTCTCTTGCAACTGCTTTGTAGACAATCTCCAAAGTGGGGCACACCTTTCCCCAGCTTTAGTCTTACTTCATCTCTTGATTCAGCTGGAAGTTATTTTTTGTATGGTTTGCTTCTTGACCATATTCTTCTAGATATCTAGAGGTTGCATGAGATTGATGACTCTATGTTTTCTTGTCCGTCCATGTCTATATCCATATTTATTTCCTTTCATATATACTTTAATAGCTTCCTTGATATTTTACTAGGTTCATTCCGCATTTTTCAAAAAGAGTTACTTTTCTGAAAGGACTATTAAACTCGGAAACTGTTGCTGAGATTTGCTACCTAATGTCACTGTATTACACAGTTTATAGCCAAACAACTGTTAGTTAAATTTAAATCCATACTCATTGGAGCTTCGATATTGATAGAATTTAATCGGCTCGTCATTTTAGGGAAGTAAAAGATTTTCACAGTGAAAATTGTTTACAGTGATTGTTGCTAACATTTGCTAAGTAGTTTGGGAGAGAAATTCTGATTTTGTTCATTTCTGTTTTCAGTGATGTCATAATGGAAGCTAAATCGAATGGGTTTGTTGGATGGACATGTAATATATGTTCTCACCCAGTACCACATTTGCATGCTCACAAAGTTATATTGCAGTCTGGCTGTGACTATTTACAAGGTTTATTCAGATCAGGAATGCAAGAGAGGTGATTATTGATTTAGACAATTGATAGTTTATGTAATTTACAATTTTTCTGGTATACAAATGATGAAGATGACACCTAGAAGTTCAAATAAAAGCTTTGTGTATGTATTATTGAAGTTGGAGCACATGAAAATTGAGAAACATGGTAAAAAAGAAGACATGCATGTGTGTTTATGTCATATGCTGACCAATGTCTGTGTAACCTGTCATGTGGTTAAATTGTGACTAAGGCCCGAGTTTTAAATCTACTCTTTACAGGCATATTCTGATAAAGTATTGTTTGAAAACTCTTTAGTGCATGTTCTTGAGTCTTGAATTTCAAACTTAATGGTTGAAACGACCTGGAACCATGAAATGTCAACTGTATTTCAACGCTTGAGTTCTTTTAGGACATCCTTGAAAATTTGAAGCAACGATTTTCCATTTTTGATGATAAATTGTCCATCACTTTCTTCTTTGTTTGCTTAAAATTTTGTGGCCCTTTGCATTTTGATCTATATCTGTTTCCTTTGAGGGTCTGCCTTAGATGTTATTTATTTTTGCAGTCATTCACAAGTCATAAAGGTTGATATTAGTTGGGAAGCATTGGTTAAACTAGTACATTGGTTTTACTCTGATGAGCTGCCGGATCCCCCTTCTGGTTGTTTGTGGGTTAACATGGATGATCAAGAAAAGCTATTCCATTTGCAGCAATATGTGGAGCTTTGTTGGCTTGGTGAGTTCTGGATTTTGGAAAGTATTCAGGAAGCCTGCTGGAATTCGATTATGTCTTGTCTTGGTTCTTCTAAGCAGCTGTCCATTAAAATAATTAAAATGGCTTATAAGCTCTCTTTGTGGAAGTTGGTTGACATTGCCGCAAATCTCATGGCTCCTTCATATAGGCAATTACGGGATTCCGGTGAACTTGAAGAATTTGATGAGGCACTAGTTCACTTCATTTATTCTGCTTCTATTGAACTTAACCATGAAGGTGAAAAACGCTTTAGGTGATGTAATACCTTCAAGATGATTCACATTGCAGGAGATTCAGGTGTGTTGTAAAATTTTGTAGGAGCTGAACATTTTTTCGGCATGTTAGTTATGCCGACATTTCTAAATTATATTTTTAATTTGAAATTTTATAGTAGACCTAGAGTATGAAGTGTTTCAAAGCAACCATTATTCTGAGGTGTTGGACTCTGTTACAGTTTTTGTTAGGTAACTGTTACAGTTAGTTAGGAGTTATAATGTTGTAGTTCTGCAAAGTCCTGTCAGTTGCCTGCAAGAAAAGCTTGGGTTCATGTATAGATACTGTTGTAAACTAAAAAATTATTATAGAATGAAAAACAATTTTTGAAATGAAACTTTTATGCTTTGTTGATTATTAGAGTATATTCTAATACTCTAATATTGATTATTAGAATTTAGAAGTATATTTTTCTTGTTTAAGTCAAAAAAGAAAGTATATTTTCCTTGTGCTTCACATGAAGTTATGGGTTTCCCAAGAACCTTAACTACACTCAACATCCATCCAGCAATGATAGTAAACACAATCAGAAAAACACAACTGTTCCCATAAATAGTTGTAATTGAAAGTGTGCCTTGATATCTAAACAAATGACATTACAATCATGGAATAATTGACTGGCACTGATTAAATGCATCTCAACAATGTGATGACGATTGTAAACTCTTCAGTTTCAGGTTTATACATCTATTTCTTTTTTCTTTTTTGCCTCATAAAAGATTTTACACCTAAATTGACTGATAGTCATCTCTTTGGTTAGATCAATGATAGTGAGATTGATGAACCATTTGCTCAAATAAAGGACATCAATGATCAATCCACTTATTTGTTTTCTTTGGTAAAATGGTCTTTATCTGTCATGAGGAACCTCTTATAATAAATTATGGACTATATACTCAATATTGTTGCTTCAATTCAATAACAGAAAGCATGCAAATCTCTTATTTAGAAATACAAGACATAAGATACAATTACTAATTTTTTAAAATCTCTTATTTAAAAATACGAAATATAAGATACAATTAATAATTTGTCAAAAAAAAAGTGAGAGAGAGATAACATAAGATACTCTAAAATTAGAAACTAAATATTTTAGGAGATAAACTGAGGATCTACGTTAAGAGTCTCACGTTGGATGAGATATGGCCTAAAACGAGTTAATAAGTGGCAAACATCTCTTGTGGTGTAACAAAACTTTGTTAGTTTTTCTTGGTTTCTTCTGCTTCTCCCTTTCAATTTCAAATCCTTCAATAGAAAATTAGAAGTAGAAATTTCGTGAACAGGTTCTATTATTTAACGTTTGTCATTAACTGTGAAATCACTTTGGAAGTTTCAAATTGATTCCATTTAAACTTTGGGTTAAATGATGTAATGTGTGGTCTTTTAGAGTGTTCATCCAATCATACAAAGGCTGTTTGTTTCTTTATTTAATTTTTGTTTTTGTTAGCTTGACTTGATTCTATAAAATATACATATAATTAACATTTTTGGGATCACTTTATTTAAGATCGTAGGAAAACAAGTAAGTTCACTAGTTTTAAGTTTCATATTCTGAACTTCACTGGAGAAGAAATATCAGCTCGTGTTACAGGTTCCTCTCTTTCTCTTTACTTACAATTTTATTGATGTTGATGACAGAGTGAGTGTCTATTTGCTTTTTTTCTTATGCCCTCTTCTTATATTTCCCATGATAACTTTTTTCTTTTATCAGCTTATTTGCTACCCCTAATCTTAAAAAAAACACTGTCAGTGGTTCTTAGTGATTTTATATAAACTGGCACAATGTATGCATTTTCCTTCATATTTTAGTAATGTGTCTTCAGATTATTTCTAGGCCTCTGATTTAATAACTTCATTCTAACTATGGTTTGATTAGTTAAGCTTTTAACTGGATGAAAATATTAACAGAGCTAGAGAAACAAAAACTTTAGCATGCAATCTTCAGAACTAGACACTTAATGTTATTTTATGCCTGGTGCTAGAGGAAATGAGATTCTCAGGGAATCACCCTTGTCTTTTGACCATTCCTTTGTTATCCTAGTGATAGTACTTTTAATCAATAGTGTTTTGACCTTAGGATCTTTTTAGGGATTGGAATTTTGATTATATTTTCTTATTTCATGTTTGAAGTGCCCGCTGCTTACAATTGATATAACAGGATCTTAGTATGCAATTTTCAAATATTTAGATAATTGCTATACTAAAGGAGTTATGAGAAGATCTAATCAGTTTGAGCTGGTACTATTGTGAAGAATTTTGTCAAGATATGTTAACTCATAATTGTTTGCCTCCTTCCATGAAACCAAAACTCAAAGCAAATGCCCCGAATAATTGATATGATTACCATTCTGTTCCGTATATATATTACTTTGGCAGTGAAACATGAGAAGATCAACAAATTTCACACACCATTTTTCATATTTTGATTCTAAGAATTCTTATATGAATATTGTTTAGAGTCCCTCGTCAGATGAATGATACTCCTTCTAGTCTCAAATATAAGCAAAAAAATATTCATATTTGGTAGTCTTAATTATAAGCAAATTTTACTAATTTTACTTTTTTGAATGATATTCCTAAAATACCTCTCATTTAATGGAAATTCACTTATTTTTTGAGATTATGAAAACTAATTGCAGTTAACTAAATTTCTTAATAAATGTGAAGTTTGCTAACTTTGCTTATAATCAAGATTGTAGTAGTATTATCATAAATAGTGTTTGTAAGATTTGGCAGAGCTCACCTGAGGTCTTATCACATTCTATTATCAAACTGGGATTTATGTTAATCCTCCTATATTTGTCCATACTCCAAATGTCCGGTCCTAGATGTGAGGATGTATGTTGAGAGCTCCACATCAACTAGAGGCATGACCTACGTAAGGCAGTCCTTATTTAAACATCCGGTTTTCTGAGGTTATGTTTGGCTCTAAATCCAAATTCTGAGATGTGTCATTTGTATATGGAATGCTTCTCTATTATGATTCAAAAATCTAGTACTGATTCATTGTTAATCGGTTAACATGTTGAAAGATTCTTAATATTGGGTATGCCTACATTGTTGATATGGACAGATATGCTGATCTGGAAAACTTTCAGAATATTGGAAATTATCTAGTTGAGATCTAGGTGATAACTGATCCGGTTTACTGTGATTCATGGAAGAAAAATTCTGTTGATTTTACTCTTTGGAAGCTATAATATATTGGTTTTAGGAATGATAATTAAGTTCTATTGAATTTGTTGATCACGATTATATTTCCAACTGGTAATTGTAAAATGCTTAAAAATCTTAATTTGCACATATTTATTGTGGATTATCAATGCTGTTCTGTCTTCTCCAAAGCTAGAAGAGTCATTTTTGTTAGTTATTTTATAATTGCAAAACTTTCAAGAATACAGCAAAGAGTAATCACCGCTATTCATTGCTTGATGGGGAGATCATTATTAGCATGGGATCCACATTACACAGAAGAAAGAAAGAAAATACCTCAGTTATGATTAATGTTTAAAAACTCTAGACTTTAAGGAGAATCGGTAGAAGTTTCAAAGTAAGATTTTACTATTGCTGAAAAATAATATTTTTATATTCATACACATGCTAAAAAATCATAATATATAAAACAAAATAAGTTAACATTCATAACCATAAATTCATAAGTTCATGATAACAATCATAAATTCTTTAAAAAAAACATAGAAAATTTAGTTCAAATTCAAAATGAAAACAATCTAAAAACAACTAGTTTAAACATTCAAAGTATCATCAACTTTTATATAAGCAGTCATTTTCATCCGCATCTTCATCATCATTTTCTTCTAATTCTTCGTCATCTTTCTCTCATATTCCTATATTCAGTATTATTAGGTATTCAAAATTACAAGAAAAACAAAGGATGATTGGAAATGCGAGATCTAAAAACATATCTTTCTGTGGCACCAGTGGCAAGTACTTTATAGTTCGCGGTTCTAGCGGGTCTCTTGATCGAAATCAATCGTTTATTTTCAGATGCATTGACATTCTCCTTTTTTTTATTCTAGTTATTGGCACAGGAAAGGGTGACGAAGATTAGGGATCCAATAAAATATCTGTGATTCAATCCCTCTTCGTTGTTTTTTTTTCTAATTAATTATACTAGAATAATAAATTAAAGAAATTCAAAAAGGTGGATTGGGCCTCCGTAAAATTTTGAATTTTGTCCAGGTTTCGTTTAAATGGAATTGAATTAATATTTCAATTCCTCTTCTAATTCTTTATTGCAAGGATTAGGAGGGACATCTAAATTATCAACAACACCACTACCACTAGTAACATCTTCTCCAATATTAAGCATGATATCTTCATCTATATTCTCTTGTCATTCATCTTCAGATGGAATATCTTCATAAAAATTGTAAAATGATTTTCTAATTTCCTTCTTTTCCTCCAACTTTAAATTACTCATCACATAAACTACATCATTCATATTTTTTTACTTTAAACAATTCATTTTTTTGTGTAGATCTAAATAAATTAAAAACAAATTAAAATTTAAAACAAAATACTCAAGATTATTAAAAGTTTAATATGTAAAATCTTGCTTACTCTTTCAAAAACATTCTAATTTCTTTCAGAATCAAATGAACTTGTTAAGAGTTCTACATCGGACAATGTATGACATGAACATGTGTTTATAAGTGTGGGCAATCCTTACTCTACCAACCGATTTTGTAGGGTTGAGTTAGGTCCAACCATAATTTCTTAACATGGTATCAGAGCCTCGTTTAAGATCCGGTGCGCCACTTTCTATGGTTTTCGCTATCGACCACACACCATTTATTTCCACGCTTCAGTTGTCCAGTCTTGAGCGTGAGGGTGTGTGTTAAGAGTCCCACATCGGACAATATATGACATGAACATGTGTTTATAAGTGGGGGCAATCCTCACTCTACCAACCGATTTTGTAGGGTTGAGTTAGGCCCAACCATAATTTCTTAACATGGTA